GTATGTCAGTGCCCTTTGTTCCTTTCCCCATTGGCACCGTAGGATTTAACTTCTGAGCTTAGGGGAGTCCACTGCCAAAACTAGAACAGATTTCCATCCTCCCAGCAGGTGATAATGTGCCGGGAAATCGTTCACAGAAATCCTGTCAATTTTTGCTGTGTTCTTTTTGTGTCTTATCAGCCACCTAAAGAGAGCTTATAGATGTACCTCTGGCCATGATCTTTCTTCTGAACACCCTAGATTTTCTTCTCATCAGTAAAACCTAGTATAGCAGCTACAAGAGTTAATGTACCCATGAATCTAAATACCCTCCTGCCTTCCCAGAATAAGGGCCACATGCCTAAGGACTCTCCTAAACCAGTGCCTACCTGAGTTTTGGTCGGGAGATATGGTTTGGGTAGGCTCCTTTCTGACTGTCATATGGCCGCCCCAGATTTGCTGCTATACTTCACATATCTACTCTTCTGTAGAGGTATTACATTTCACAGCAGTGAGAGCATCAATCAGTTTCCCTTCACAGCAGCGATTGATTGATTGATTGATTGATTGATTGAGTTTGAGATGGAGTTTTCACTCTTGTCGCCCAGGCTGGAGTGCGATGGTGTGATCTTGGCTCACTGCAACCTCTGCCTCCCAGGTTCAAGTGATTCTCCTGTCTCAACCTCTTTAGTAGATGGGATTGCAGGCATGTACCACCACGCCTGGCTAATTTTCTTTTGTATTTTTAGTAGAGACGGGGTTTCGCCATCTTGGCCAGGCCAGGCTGGTCTCGAATTCCTGACCTCAGGTGATCCACCTGCCTCCGGCCTCCCAAACTGCTGGAATTACAGGCGTGAGCCACCACACTCAGTCCTCAGCATGGATTTATACTGCCCCACGCTTCACCTACCCTAAAAGGCGTCATTGAAATTACACCTGCCAGTAATTCCTGAATGATAATACTGCAGCAGATTGGGGGTTAGCATTCACACCAAACATTACTTTTCACACTATAGCATCCAAAAACATGTTATTAGCTCCTCAGTCAATTAAACTAAAGATCCAGGAAAGCATGAATTCCCTAGAGAACTGCTACCACTTCTTAGCAAAGTGACCCAGTTTCTTTATGCTTTGTCCAATTTGGTAGCTACTAGCCACATGTGGTTATTAAGCACTAGAAATTTAGAGTCTGAATTGAGACATACTGTGAATGTAAAACACATGCCAGGTTTCAAGGACTTCGTATGAAATAGAGAATGAAAACTATCTCATTTTTTACTTCAATAAATGTTGAAAAGATATTGTGAACATACTGAGTTAATTTTTTTTTCAAACTGAAATTATTTTGACCTGTTTCCTTTAACTTGTTAAATGTAGCTAATGTAAACATTAAAATCACACACATGGCTTCTATTTGTGGCTCACATTATGTTTTTATGGAACAGGGCTGCACTATAGTCACTAGTTTGCAGTGTCACTTGCCTGGAGTTGCAGAAGGGAATATTAAAATTAAGTGCGGTGTCCTTCCAAGTACCAACTGGGCTTTTGTTTTCATCTTGAGCTCAGGTCATGAAGCTGCTTGCTTTACTGGCTGTGTCTTTCCCTTAAGTAGTTCGTTTCATGAGGATAATTTTTTTTTCTTTTCTTTTTTTTTTTTATTTTGAGACGGGATCTCTCACTCTGTAACCCAGATTGGAGTGCAGTGGCACAATCTTGGCTTACTGCAGCCTCTGCTTCCTGGTTCAAGCAATCCTCCCACCTTAGCCTCCAGTTAGCTGATCCCACAGGCGCCCACCACCACACCTGGCTCATTTTTCGTAATTTTGATAGAGATGGGGTTTCGCCATGTTGGCCAGGCTGGTCCCCAACTCCTGAGCTCAAGCAATCCACCTGCCTCAGCCTCCCAAAGTTCTGGGATTACAGGCATGAGCCTCCACCCCCAGCCCCAAAAATTATTAATAGGAAACAAGGAATTAACGGTCTCTTGAGCCACTTTCCCCTCAGTTTTATCTCACCGATCATCCATCTACCAATTCAACAGGGGATAAACCTGTGCCATCCAGATTCCAATAGTAAAATTCAGCATGTTATTTTCTGTAGCACTTTGACTACCTCAAAACCAGGTTGGATCAGCATTAGATTCTCCTCAGAACTCCCTCCTGGAACATTTGGTCATATTGAGTCTCAAAGTTTGAAAGCCTGGTCAGCTTTTGTCCACCACTGCTGAGATTTGGGGTTCCAATTGTCATACAGACTCTCAGAACACCCATAGGCTTTAATCTAACCTTATGTTCACTCAGTCTCCTAGGAGGACGTGAGGCAGGAAACCCATCAGGCCTCCAGCATCTGCCTCGCACAGGAGACTCAGCAAGTTCTCAAGAGCACAGCTTCTTTTGCCCCTCATCACACAGGACACATAGGTACAGCTGCCATGGACAAAAGTCAGGGTGTATACAATCGCCTTCACACAGAGAATCACAGCCTTTGTTCCAAACCACACTTGTACACCACCTAGTCACTTGGGCCAAAGATCTTCAGGCCAATGCACAGCTCCCCCAATGCAGGTGCAGCCCCTCACAGTAAATAATGCCGACTCCAATTCCCTCTGTAGCTTACCTCTATTGTTTTCAAGGAAATGATGCTTTAGGAATCAGGGGTCATTCTCAGCACTCCTGTAACAGCCCAGGCTGGATGTTAACTCTTTACTCACACTCGGGTATATGGAAAGATACAATTGAGAAAAATTCAATTGCTCACTAATATGTTAATTTTAAATAGATTATCTCTGTTTTGAGATGAGCAGCTAAGGTCTCTAAAGATTTTAAAATAAGTTATTCATAACAGATAATTAGAAAGGTAATCAATGAATTCTGCTTTACTAAGCACATCAGCTCTAATCCTGATATCTGAGCGTTTTGATAATGAATTTCTCAACTGCTTCAGTTAACATGTCAACACCTCATTGGAAATGCTCCCTGAGAAGTTATCTTTTGTCTTACTTTGAGATAGATTTTTTTAACACATAGGTTGCTATAGTTTAAAAGCCTATTTTATACTTCAACATTCAGCTGATTTATACACAAAATAGTGCAAATTACCCGGGTAGCCTACATTTTCCTTTAGAAATGCACACACCAGCATGATTTTCTGAGTTATAAGGATACTATTTTAGCACTTACGTAAGAATGATTTAATTCCAATTTGTAAGATATGGAAAACTTTAAGGCAAATTATAAATTTGCCTTAAAATTTTCATGGATGCCAAAGAAATGGTAGTCTAAATGAACATGCTTATTAAAGAATACTGGAAAATTGATATTGATTTTCAATTTTTGCAAGCTTACAACAGTAGTCTCAGATAGTTTGGACTGTCCGTTTTTATTTCAAACTTGTGTCCTCAAAATTCAATTGCTTATATATTTTACAGTCAAAATACTTTCCAATAATCATATAATTTTGTTTTTCAGGTGGAATCATGTTACTTTCATAATTCCCAAAATAACTATTTTATACCTTACTGTATCAACTTTGGTCATCTTCTCATTTTAGAATCCATGATAACTTCTATTTTTTACTTTCATACTTTATAATATATTATTTATTGAGGAGCTACTTTCACAGAACCAACATAATTTTCTTTTTCTTTTTTTTTTTTTTTTTTTTTTTGCAGACAGAGTCTCACTCTGTCGCCCAGGCTGGAGTTCAGTGGCGCTATCTCAGCACACTACAACCTCCACCTCCAGGGATCAAGCGATTCTCCTGCCTCAGCCTCCCGAGTGGCTGGGACTACAGGCGCGTGCCCCCACACTCAGCTAATTTTTGTATTTTTAGTAGAGACGGTGTTTCAGTATGTTGTCCAGGATGGTCTCAATCTCCTGACCTCGTGATCCACCTGCCTCAGCCTCCCAAAGTGCTGGGGTTACAGGCACGAGCCACTGTGACTGGCCCATAATTTTCAAGAGTTCAAGCCAATTATTTTACCTTTTATATTATTATGAAAAAGTATTATCATAGGAGAGATATAACAATGTTATTAAATGTCTTCTCATCTTTTAGACCTTCAATTTAGTAATCAAATAAACCCTTACTCATTGGTAGACAGCTGCCATTACATTCTAAATAAATGTATTAAAGTAAATTATTAATTTGCATATAAGTTATTAAATACTATATTTCATAAGCATACTTCATTTATTATATATTATTAAATAATTTTTATTTAAATTTTTCTTTAAGTCCTTTCATTTACAAACATGGAAAATTATCTTCAGTTTGCCACATTTAAAAGAAATGATACTTTTTAGAAGAATATAGTAATAATAAATTTATGTAAAGTTTATGTTCTTAACATGAAATAAACTTCTGCCACATATAATTCACAATTTCAACCAAACCAATGTGCCTGAAAGGTAGTCGTATATAAACTAGAATACATGACTATCTTCTAAGTATTCCACAAAGGTTAGTGTAAAACAGAAAAGTAGTATACAGGGAGAATAACATAAACCAAGCAGTATTATGGAACTAGACTGTATTTTCTGAGGAATTGACTTCGAATTGAAAGAAAAAGCTTGAAAAGGTTTGTCTCCATGAGAAAGAAAAATTCAGTCAATGATCCTGGTATGTTTGTTCCCCTTCGACATCACACATTAGGCCATTTATACAAATAATGCAAAAAAAAAAAAAAACTAGTTTATGAATATATATAACACAATAGATTTTATCTTGTTTTAATTGAGATATTCAAGCAATATGTAGAAAATATCAGAGTTTAGTTTTCCCATTAAAACATAGCCTTTGGGATTTCACATTTATTAATGGGCGCATCTATACAAGGCAGCAGGATGAATAAATAAAACTTCAATGGGGAATCAAAACCAATTCATCTTTATATGCTTTGGTTACCTTTTCCTTATATTAATGTAAATATTAATCGTGATAAAATTGGTTATGATTCTGAGATGCCTGTTATACAGGCTCTATTCTATTATTAAAGGGACTTGTCACATTTTCTTTGACAGGATGATGAGGTAAGGGAAAGTCGATTCAGCTTCACAGCCTATGGAATGGGACCATGTCTACAAGCAAAGGACGGCATGACTCCAAAGGGCCCCAACCACCCTGTCCAGGTAATGCCAAAAAGCCCTGATGAAATGAGGAAGGTCTTTATCGACCGGGCCAAGAAGATTGACACCATCTCCAGAGCCTGCTTCCCATTAGCTTTTTTGATTTTTAATATTTTCTATTGGGTTATCTATAAAATTCTTAGGCATGAAGATATTCATCAGCAGCAAGATTAAGTCTCTGGGGGCATGCAAGTGGGTCAATTCAGAGGAAAGTGTCTCTGCCATAGGTGTGTGTGTGTATGTGTGTGTGTGGTGTATAAATGATGACCATTGTATTAAAATGGTATATGGAAAAGGTTCGTAATTTGGTTAGCTATGCAAAGTCATGAGAGATAAGATTCTTTTAATGAATATAAAATATTTATTAGGGGATTCTATTTCATATTAATTCCCGGTGATTTGTTTTTTTCACAGTAAACCATCTAAGTGGAAGCTTTACTGCCAATGTGTTTATATGTTATATAATATCTCATAATAACAGACACGAAAACTACTTTGGAATTCCTTAATTTGTAATTCAATGCTATTAAATCATACAAAAGCAAATTTTGCACAGTAAATTTTATGAAAGGAAAGGGGGGAAATTATAAAGATAATAAAAACCAATAATTTGAATTTTAAAACTATTTTCTTATAGTATAGTTATGAAATGGGAAAATAATTAGTTACAGTGGGAAATTCACTCATATTAATGGAGGATTGTACATATAAATACTATTTAACCAATATATGTAATTTTGAAAATTTTTAAATAAGAGCATTAAAAAACTTTAATGGTTTGGAATACTAAATTTAATTGTTTAGAATAATAAATTTTCCTCTGTGCAAATTTAAAACAAATAACATAAGAGATCGTGTTACAGTCACAATCTACTTTTCTTAAACTTTATATCTCTAGGAACGAAGGTGGAAATATGGAAAACAACTTTGTTTTCAAATAAGTATCATAGCTATGTATTTTTAGTTATTGCCAAACATTGAACAATTCAAGCCAGCACCTTGTTTTTGTTAGACTTTTAATAGCTGCTTAACTGTGTGTGATTGTGTTTAATAATTTGATATAACTGAACAAAATTCAGTAAGACTTTTATATTTTAGTTTAGAATGTGACTTTAAAATTCAATGGGATTAAAGTATTTACATTTTGATAAAAATGAGTACAATGAAAACAAAAATGGATTCATGAAAGATTTTTTAATAAAAACAATTTTCCCAGCAATGTTTTATGGGTCTCAACTCCTATCTCCAAATATAAGGAGGGAAAGTTTTAGTTTTAAATGATATAAGTAAGTCATTTCTATAAAGTGGGGACTGTTTTTCTATTTCTGAATTAATGATTTCAAAATCTAAGCCATTCGCAAGATGAAAATAATTTTAAATGAAATTTTTATGTAAAATTTTTCAATGACCCCATGGGAGTACTTCAACAACAACAGAGCATTAGTAACTTGTTTTTTGCAGTGTAATTGGGTGCAAATGTATGATAGAGTTCTTGGTAAACAGAACCAGACTCTGACTCTTTTTCAGTTTTGCTATTTTTTTTTTAACTATTTTTACCATAAATGTATTTGGGAAAGCTTTGGAATGCCTTTTAGGTATTTTAATTATTGGTCAGATGCACAAACTCAGTCTGCCAAATTATTTACAGAGAAAACTTTAAACACTATGAAAACAATGAACTCAGATGTACAATAGAAAAGCCAGTTATTTAACGAGATGCTGTTTTCTGCCCTTCAACCACTCTCAAATTAAAAGCAAAAACTACCATTTAAAACTAAAACCTTTACAATGTTATTATACATCAGCTTATACAATTGTAATTTTTAAAAATAACATTTTAAAAAATAGTAAATGTTAAGCAGTTTTTGCTAGTAAAATACCAAGTTCCTCTCCTTTATAAGTAACTTAAAACAACACTATAAGGAAATAATATTATGTTTGGCATTATGTGCAAATGCCACAACTAAAAGAATTTGTTACTCTCTATGTACCCACGTTGAGGACTGTGCACGTGAAAATTAAACACATGCTTCTTCATTTGGTGTGTATTTAACAAAACCATGGAAACATATTCTTGTGCTAAAGATAGAGCAAGATATGTCATTTGTATTCCTTGAGAATTAGCAGGAGAGTTCGAGGTAATTATAAGCTACGTCATCTCGGTGTGTCTCTGAAATACCTGAATGTGTTTTTCTATGCTTTCCACATCTTATTTCAAGTTTCCCAACATTGCTTAAGTGAATTCTGCCAGGAGCAAACAGAAATATAATAAATACAAACATGCTTACTTCCAAAAGAAATTCACAGACATCACTTGTTTCCATATTTGAGAATATTAAAAATGTGTCTTTTTTAAATCTGAAATTTAGAAAGTGAAAATACCAAACATGAGACAATGTTGTCAACAAGGACGTTGGTGCATTAGAAGTCTATCTCAAAAGTATTGTACTTTCCTTAGGCATAGTTTTCCTTTCCTATTACGTTTGTCACTGTCTTACTGCACTAAGAAAATACTTTAACGGCTTTCACTCACAAGGCAACAGTGACAACGCACATGTGGCTGAATCCAATATGTTTAAAGGAATGTGTCTCCTCCTATGAACTCTTATTGACCTTTTAAAACTGAAAAATTACATCGCAATTAGCATCCTGAGATAATATTTGCCTCAGTAAGCCCTGTGTCCAACCAGAATATTTCAAATTAAACCAACCAAAAAATTATTAATGATAAGAAATTAAAAACGTGTGCATATACATTAACTACACACAAATTGGAATTCCAATGTGCATATTCTGAAGTATTTTTAAATAGCCACGTTAGAAAATACGGGATTTTTGTGTATGCAGTTTATATCATTTTCTTAAAAAGCATTATTTGTATCTCAATCATTGAAATATCTGGTTCCATAGCATATGAATTTATAGGCTATTTTATACATTAGCATATATGTTCTCAACCTTTTCTTTCTTTCCCAACCATTAGAATTAGACTTAAACCATGAGGCTCTAGAACTTACTTTACAACTTTAAATAGATTCAAGAATCACTGTATTTGCAAGAAAGCTGAGGGTGTTTAAAACTTCTCTAACCCTTCCAAAAGTTTCTCCATGGCACTTGCCTGGAGAGCCCATCCAACTCTTGGTGGCTATATTAGGGAATCAACCGGGCTGTTCATCTTATTCTAGAATGAATTCTTATTCTGTTGATCTAGTCCAATAACTTTAATCTTAATTTGCAATTATAAGTGCTTGTATATTTGTGTATCCCTAAGACATGAATTCATGTATTAGTTTATGAATACCCAGGATCTCATGGAAGGTAAGGGAAATTTTAGAAAAAAAATGAAGAAATGATCTAAATGTTTAACAGAAGAGAGCAAGCTGTTCACTATTTTAGTACTCAGTGCAACTTAAGTAGTTATAATATTTGAAAAAAGATTTAGATGTATCTTCCATACTATACACCCCTTTTTCTGAACATTTAATTCCACTTTTTAAAATATGCTTTTCTATTTCTCTCAACACAACATACTTCAACCTGCTGGTTACTTGGGAGGACTGAATATTATACTGGCAGCTAAATTTTTCTTTCATCTATAAAGTACACATTCCAGGAAATGGACATGAGAGAATACAAGAGACTTGCCAAAATTGACATAGAAAATACTTGCAGTATACTGTAAATGGAAAACAAAGAAACTGACAACACCACGATTCACAAGGGTCCCATAAAAATTTACAACACTCTAATAACAAAATTCTGAGAACAAAAATGTATCCAATGATCCTTAGACAGATAGCATTAACAGTCTTTGAGGTCATGATATCTTCTACTCCAAAAGTGATTCCACACTCTTTGCAACATAGATAATAGCATAAACTCCCAAAATTCAACAGTATATATGACCTGTATTTTTCATCTAGTTAATATTGAACTAGCAAAGAAAAGCAAACCATTCCAAATATAAGACAATCTGGTGTTAATACAATATATTAGAAGATATAGCGTATATGTTCACACGGATTCCCTCCTGCGAATAAAACACCCATAATACCCATTGTATCTTGTTCCTGAATTAAGAGACATCTGCCTCAGCAGATACATTGGTTTTTATTTTCTTATTTGTATACTACAGTGGTAAACATAGCCATTGCAATTTTTTCATTGCTATATAAACTTTGCATGAATAAACAAGCAGTGTACACTGTAAATTGCATTAATTTAATTAACTTTAAAATTAAACTTTTATCTCAGCCCCCCTCCTCTTTATAAACATACTGATATTAAAAAGTGAACTTCCATAGGGAGACACCTGGTACTCCAATTACTTAAAAAGTAAAGTGATGCATATTCTTCCATAACAAAGATACTTACAGGCCATGTGTAAAATATAACTCCCTACAATTTAAACGGAACTAGGACAGGGAAAAATATCCTGGGGAAGCTTCTTTGAGATATAAGGCCAAGAGATATAATCCAAAGTTAGCAGCTAGGACCCACTTACCTGTTTTTTTTTGGTCTACATTTTACATCTTAATAATGCCTTCATCTCTTCCCTTTCCCTCTCTCTCTCTCTCTCTCTCACACACACACACACACACACACACATTGGTAATGAGATGAATTCTTTCAGATTAAAAATACAAAGACAGAAAATTTTCCTAGACAAAGGTTCATAATCCTGTGACATGTTTTGCAATATTAAGTCATTGCTGGTGGAAAATATGAACCATGCAGTCATTCGATTTGGCCAGCTCTTGATCATGCAACAATCTTTTGCCTCAAAAACACATAAACAAAGCTAACTGGATCAAGTCTTTAACCCTTAACAATCGAATTCTAAAACACTATTTGAACCATTTTTGAAGAACAGCTAAATAATTGTCAGAAAGCTTTTTCAAAAGACAGCTAATAACATAGGATGACTTTGTAGTGTCCGAACAGGTGGTTTTCTCAGTACTTTTGATGGTTAACACGTAAACAAAGAGGAGAAATTTAAGGTGATAGAGTATTATTTTTCAAAAGTGATTCTGAACCCTGGCTATGTATTGGAATTCCTTACACATTTTTAAAATGCATACATATGCTTGGTATCCAATATAGAAGATTATGATTTAATCACTGATTAAACAAATATTCATTGAGTACCTTATGTGTGCCTGGCACTGTCCCAAGTGCTAAATTTATTATCTTTGGAATAAGATATGAAATTGTGGATGATTGAAAAAATTCCAAAACCGAGAGAATTGATGTGAGCTTACACAAGCTTGTTCTCCTAATAAGGATCAATTTAACACTTTTTAAGTTTTATAATTTTTTCTTTCTTCATGCAACTAATTTTAGTTGTCTCTCATTTATATTCTTAGAATTAAAAATAGACCCGGCCCGATGGCTCACGCCTGTAATCCCAGCACTTTGGGAGGCCGAGGCGGTCAAATCACTTGAGGTCAAGAGTTAAGACACCAGTCTGGCCAACACGATAAAATCCCGTCTCTACTAAAAATACAAAAATTAACCAGGTGTGGTGGTGGGTGCCTGTAATCCCAGCTACTCAAGGGAGGCTGAGGGGGAAGAACCACTTGAGCCCAGGAGATGGAGGTTGCAGTGAGCCAAGATCGCACCACTGCACTCCAGACTGGGTGACAGAGTGAGACTCTGCCTCAGAAACAGACAAATGAAAAAAGAATTTAAAATAAACCTTTGATGTGTTTCAGTTCAGCTTTCCTCTCAATGTCAGAATCTTCACTATTACATTATCCACATTCTCCGAGCACCCAAAGAGCAACTGGTAGCTCATTACTCTGAGGACAGTCTTCTGTTCCATTGTGGCATAACTCTAGATGATAAAAATGTTAATCTTCATCAAAAAATGACTTTTCCTTCCTAAAATACCAAGTAAGTTTATTGCCCTCACATAAGACAACCAGCATATATTTTCACATTTCTGTTGTCTGCGTTTAAGTTCAATCAACCCCTTATCACTAGCTTTATTCTTACTTAAACCATTCATGAGAGCATTGTAAGTGTTAAACAATGATGACACATTTTCAGACTTATAAATAATGAAATATAAAATGAATTATCTACATAGATAAATAGAAATTGATGAAAATTTCTATGTACATTATTTTCAGGAACTGTTAGTGTCTTCCTGTAATTTAGCAATAAATTTAAATTAAATATTTTTAAATTTATTTCAGATATGAAAATATTATATAAAACTCTACAAAGTAATATGAATTAAAAAAAAACTAGCAGCAAACCATATTAACCATATGATGTATTTTTAGAGTAAAGCTATAACAAAAGTACAAGGGATTAAGTTGTTTTATTTTAATGGCTGCTTTTTCTCTGGGGTGGGTTTAGCAATGGTGCCTTTGGGCAACCCCGCTCACATACACATTATCCAGCCTGGCTGGTTAATAGTAAGGAGTTGTGACTTAAATTCCAGGAAAGGATTCAGATGTGAAGTTATACTTGAATATGCTTGAATAATTTTGCACTTCTTCACTTTTTTCTCTATGAATTATTCAATGGTCATTCCTTAAATTTGTATTTTAATGTATGATAAATGATAATACTGGGGGGGAGTAGAGTGAAGTACACTGACATTCTACAGCTATAATATGATATGCTATGAAAAACAAAACAAAAAGAAAATGTGCCATATATTTTCCATGTACCATCTTTATATGATATACAGTGACTTCATTATTAGTGAGTCAAGTTGTTTAAAGAACTACCAAAAAAAGTATTGCTATTTTATGGTTTTTATGGTGTAAATTATTTTTCTGTCTTCTCGAGTCTTATGTCTATGTCAGTCTTCCTTGTCCAGATACTGTCATATTTTTCCAGGAAATTATACTGAACATATACTTAAAAATTTATGCACGATTTCATCAACTTCTTTTTCATTATATTTAGTTCAATTTTGCAACTAACAAACTCTCTATCAGAGTCATTAACCTGTGAACAGTATAAATTATTTATCATGTAACTGTAGATAATTTGATCAGAAACAATAAAAATGAACACTTTTCAAGAATATGGATACCTCTTTTGTCTAATTTTTTTACAGAACAAATTTTACCAAAGAATCATGTTGTCTTCCTGACAAAAATCATATTCCATTCCTGTTCTCATGAAAACTGTTACATCTAGGATTACATAGTCGGTGATATATCATTCAAAGAAGTCTTAATATATGCATTTCATTATAGGAAAAGCACAGTGAGAAGGATGGTAAATGGAACTTTTCTACTAAGGACAGAATGAGAGAAGATGTGTTACTAACTAGAAAAATGACTTGGCATTAGTGTATTTGTAGTTTTTGTTTGTATGTTTGAAAGACTTCTTAAAATCTGTTTATTGAAAAAACCACTTTCACTTGACTTACCCGTACAGACTATTTCAAAAAGGAATACTCATCTTTTTTTTAATCTATAATTTCATCTTTCTTTTTTCCTGCACAGAGTTACATTGGAGGTTAGTGATAGAATACTAGTAAAGAAATAAGATTTTTTTTTTTTTTTTTGACGCGGAGTCTCACTCTGTCACCCAGGCTGGAGTGCAGTGGCGCGATCTCGGCTCACTGCAAGCTCTGCCTCCCGGGTTCAAGCGATTCTCCTGCCTCAGCCTCCCGAGTAGCAGGGACTACAGGCACGTGCCACCTCACCTGGCTAATTTTTTGTATTCTTGGTAGAGATGGGGTTTCACCGTGTTAGCCAGGATGGTCTCAGCCTCCTGACCTTGTGATCTGCCCGCCTTCCAAAGTGCTGGGATTAGGGGCATGAGCCACCACACCCAGCCAAGAAATTTAAGAAAGTATTACAATTTCGTATGTGATAATTAGTCTGTCATTTTTAAAGTACCTATAATTAATATGTAACAGCCTTTGACACTTTTATATATTGACTAGCACAAATTTCAGGAAAAAATCTTAGATTGAAAATTCCTTGCTAAATCAGCATGATGGTTTTCTTCAATGAGCTGGCCTTCATTAATAGCTTACATAGTTCATACCGTGACATCAGCAAAAACTCTGTGCTGAAATGCTGCCATAGAATCAGGCCAGCTCATCTGTAAGTACAAGTGCTGGCGGTATCTATGGGTAATAGATCCCTAAACAAAAGGTATAGGAATAAATGTAATGTGACCACACTGAGAAGGATGAGAAGCTTATTGGTAAACTATGATTTATTAAGTCAATTTGCACTACTATGGTTTAAAATATTTTCGTTACTCTCGTGATATTCATCATTTTCTGCATCACTACACTGTTTATTTTTCTCTACATAGTTTATTTCAATATACTCTTGCTGACAGTTGCTTTCTGTCTTGATAAACTGATTTTCTAAATATATTCTTCTTTGTAATTTTGTATAATTTCCGTTTTTAATTACACATTCATTGGAATCCTAAATTGAATGAGGCCATATTTACTGAACTACACTATAAATATTTAGTTTGTTTTTATGTTTCTTTATATTTGTATATTTGACCCCATGTGTTGTCTTACCAAGTTATCTCTGTTGATGCTCTTCACCCAATATTGTACTGCTCTGACAGTATCTAAAAATTCACTTGGGCAAACGGTTAACTGGAAGCTGGGTTGTGAACAGAAGCTGGCACTCTGAAAGAAAATCAGAGCTGGATATAAGTTAAAGCAGTGAAGACAAATTTTATTCGGAAACTATTGCATTGGGGACAGAGAGACCTCAGTATATAACTGGGTTGCATTCTGAATACTAGGACAAGTGAGGATTTGGGATAAGTGAAGGTCAGTGGGTGGAAAATTACTAGAGAGAAAACCTCACAGGGATTCCGGCTAAACTGACTTAGCAAAATTCTTGCTGAATGCAGGCAGGGTGGTAAGATACTGAACGTGGGGGGATAAGAAATTTGATTAGATATCAAGGATAAGGGATTTTCGTTAAACTGAACCAGCAGAATTCTTGCCTAACTGAACTAACTAGGCCAAGAACAGAACCCAAGTTGGGCCTAATCAAAAGGAGAGCTCAGAGGCTTATGATCAGAGCGTGACCCAGGAGAAAATCTTATCATCATCTATAGTCCATTCTGTGACATGAGGAATGAATTGTCTGAACACTTGTTCTTCAATGAATGAATACTCGTTAAAAATCATATGACATTCACTCGCAGTTCTGTAACCTAATGGCACTTGCTCTTCCAAACTGGTCTCTGTTCTTAAACCATTAAAAATCACTATTTTGATGTCAGGTTCCTTTTCTTTCTGGGGAAAAGAAAAACTCTTCTAAATGATCTGTTACAGAAACAATTATGTTTATAGAGTCTTATTTCAATAACTTCTCCCTCCCAAAAATTTCCTACAGATTGACCTTGTTTGAAATACTTATTCTGTGGAAGATCAAGCTTACAGGTATAACATTGAGTTTCCTAAGTGACTAATCAAAGAAAATGGGAATGAACTATAAATCGAAAACAATAAATTTATTCAAATTGCCAAATCATTTGACAGGTAATAGAAAATCCAAAAGCACAAACTTATTTTGAATTGCCTGGAAGTTAAAGAAGATCGATAATAAATTATTAGATCCTTTTTAAGAAACACAGCTTTACTCTATCACATTGTATTTGATAAATACCAGAATTGAAGCTAGAAACCTACCTGGCGATACTCTGGGTGCTTCCTTTGTTCTCCTCTTTATCGTCAGCAAATTTTTTGAGTCTCCACATTATTAGGCCATGAAAACTTCAACGGGTGGCAAACAGAAAAGCCTCCTCCACTTTCAGGACCAAAGCAAAACAGGGAAAAATCTGCAGGAACCGTGTGTCATAGATAAGAGTTTTCCTTTATTTTCACTTTAGGTTAGTACTTCTCCTGGGTAATCAATAATCTCTAAGCAAGACTCAGTCTTGTCTAAAGGGATGGAACTTATATTGATGCATTGCATATAGTAAATTAAAATATCTTTCCAACTTAGATGATTAATTGTGTTTTTTCCTTCTCGAACGAAAAAGAATACGAGAAACAAATGGACATGGTATGTTATTTGCAATTTACTTTAAATCAAATATATCAGAATTCATTTACTGTTGTGAATTGGTTACATTTGAAATACCTTTTTTATATGAACTAATGAATTAGTTATACATTAACTAATGAAAATGCTGGGGCCATGAAAAAAGATGTTATTTCAGGTCATCAAAAATACAACTAGGGTAATTATGTTCATATGACTCATTCACCTAATGGATAATGTAACTTCATTTCTAAAAAGAAACTTTAAAAAGTAATATTAATGTGTTAGTATAAGTCATGAGTTGCTTAACTACAGGAATATGTTCTAAGAAATGTGTCTTTAGATGATTTGTCATTATGCAAACACCACAGGGTGTACTTCTATACACCTACATGGGTTAGACCACTACATCTAGGCTAGACTACATGCAATAGTCTGTTGCTTCTAGGCTGCAAACCTGTACAGCATGTTACTATACTGAATACTGCAGACAACTGTAATACAATGGTAAGTAGTTGTGTTTCTAAACATATATAAGCATAGAAAAGATACCATAAAAATATGGAATAAAAGGTAAAATGTAGTACACCTATACAGGGCACTTAACTTGAAAGGAGCCTGCGGACTGGAAGTTGCCCTGGGTAAGTGGTGAGTGAATGTGAAGTCCTAGGATATTATGACCCTACTGTAGACCCTTTTTTTTTTTTTTTTTTTTTTTTGTCTGAGATGGAGTCTCCCTTTGTAGCCCGGGTTAGAGTGCGGTGGCATGATCTCAGATCACTGCAACCTCTGCTTCCCGGGTTCAAGCAATTCTCCGTGCCTCAGCCTCCTGAGTAGCTGAGATTACAGGCGCTCGTGACCATGCCCAGCTAATTTTTGTATTTTTTAGTAGAGACAAGGTTTCACCACGTTAGCCTGGCTGGTCTTGAACTCCTGACCTCAGGTGATCCTGAGGTCTCCCAACATGCTAGGATTATAGGCATGAACCTCGGTGCCCAGCCACACTACTGTAGACTTTTTAAAGGCTGTACACTTAGGCTACACTAAGTTTAACTTTTGAAATTTCTTCAATAATAAATTAACCTTAGCTTCATAAAACTTTTTACTTCATTTTTTAATGTTTTAAGATTTTTTTGTAGTAACACTTAGCTTAAAACACAAGCCCAAACATACAAAAATAATTTCTTCCTTTATATCTTTATTGTGTAAGCTTTTGTCTGTTTAAAATTTTTATTTTATTTATTCTTTTACTTGTTAAACATTTTGTTAAGAACTAAGACACAGACACACACATTAGCCTCGGCCTACACAGGTCAGGATCATCAATGTCACTGTCTTCTTCCTCCACATCTTGTCCTACTGGAAGATATTCAGGGGCAACAACACACACAGAGCTGTCATCTCTTGTGATAAAAACAACTTCTTCTGGAATAAATCCTGAAGCACCTGCCTGAGTGTGTTTTCCAGTTAACTTTTTTTATATAAGTAGAATACACTCTAAAATAATTATTAAAAGTCTAATAAATACTAAGCAATAGGAATTTTTTAGCTCCATTATAATCTTAAGGGACCACTGCTGTATATGGGGTCCACAGTTGACTGAAATGTCATTATGCAGCACAATACTGTATTTAATATTGTTAGCATATTTATATTTGATTAACTGTCTCATTGGTATTACTTGTGCTAAACATGCTTACTTTTTGGGTTTTTTTTTTTTTTTTTTTTTTTGAGACGGAGTCTCACTTTGTCGCCAGGCTGCAGTGCAGTGGCACGATCTCAGCTCACTGCAACCTCCACCTGCCGGGTTCAAGTGATTCTCCTGCCTCAGCCTCCCGAGTAGCTGGGACTACAGGCATGTGCCACCACGCCCAGCTAATTTTTGTATTTTTAGTAGAGATGGAGTTTCACCATGTTTGCCAGGATGGTCTTGATCTCTTGACCTTGTGATCCACCCTCCTCAGCCTCCCAAAGTGCTTACTTTTTAATATGTGTTATATATTGTATTCTTAAGCAACAAAATATAGCAAGTTCACCTGCTGT